TATACATGTGTCCATTCGTCATTTCTTAATATCTTCCCTTGCTTTGTGAAACATCCCCCAGTTGCTTAATTAGTCCAATTATTGTCTACAGTCTATCCTTGTTCATCCTCCTTCCACTCCCCTAGTCAGGCTTAGTCTCAATTGAAATCCCCAGTTGTAGTCTTAGTCCCAATCGAAATCCCCACTGGAAATGCCAATTGTCTACGTCTTAGTCCCCAAGTTGCTTACCCTCGGATAATCAACCATGGCAAGTGTATCAAATCCCCTATGTAGTTGGATTATGTTCCCAGCTATAGACCTCCATGTCTAAGGGATGTTCCCATTAAAAACCTCCATTTCTAAGGGATGTTCCCATGAAATCACAGCTATAAAGGCTATAAACCTCCATCTTTTACAGACCTGTTAAATCGCCCATATTTTTCCAGCAGCCTCCATTGCTTCGGGTATTCCAATGCTTTCCCCGTTTCATCTCGCCGGGTTTGGTGCACCTCCCGAGGCAGTGGATCTAACCACTCCAGGCGTCCAGCAGTTTGTTCGATTTCCGCCTGCGCCTCGTTCCAGACCTGGTCATCAGATGGGATGATACATACTATTCCCAATACATACTATTTCCATCTGATGATAGTTGGGAATATACTCTGATAATGTATGATATTCCTAACTATTTCCGATTTAATACCATACTATGATAGTTGGGAATAAATTGGAAAGTTATTATACTCTGATAATGGAAAATGGAGCTTTCCTAAAATGGTGCAAGTGCAAAAATGGATGGTTTCCGATATGGGAAATCCATCTATAAATGGATGATCTGGGGGTATCCCCATTTTAGGAAACCCCATGTGGATCTATAGTTCACCAACAAGATCTTGTTTTTTTTCGCATGGCAAACATGTTCAAAACAACTGGTGAGAAATCAACCAAGATGTGTTGTGTTTCAAAACATGTGGTATATTAACCAAGATTTGCCATTTGAAATCAATTGAGTGGTGGGAAAATTATGTTATAATAAAAACAATGATGATAATACGGAAAATAAATAAATATACATATATATATATACATATATATATATATATATAGATATTATTATATATAATTATATGCGATAATGCATTGAGGAATTGAGCGTAATCCACCTGTGCCCCATTTTCAGACAAACCATTTTTGAGTTCAGCAATGAAAACGGTGTGTGGAATCAAGAAGAATAGGAATCATCCGTACTTCTGCACTGATGAAAAGGACGGATGCCTTTTCTACTTGAGCCACTTGTAACTACTCAAGGGCAGAAGAGACTATTGAGATGGCTCCAGTAAGAAAAGTGATCAGGGAACCTCAGGGAATGCTGCGGTGGTTTCTGAGATGAACTTCCAAGGTTGGATCGGCCAGTCCCAAGTGATGGACAGCGCATGGGTGAAATCGGTGAAATCCCCATTGATTTTTTTGTCCCGATGAACTTTTGAAACTTTTCTCTACTGAAATCCCATTGCTTCCCCCTGTCGGATCCCCATAAAATCCATAAATCCAGAATTTCTTTTGGTTCCATCCCCACAGCACCCCGTTGCTTCCCCCTGTCTCCGGGAGACTCCAAGGCTGGTCATCAGCGAGGAGATTGGCCAGGCCCAGAGCGGAAGTTTCAAGACCTGGATGCGGCAAAACGCTGGTACCCGAGTGAATCCAAAAAGTCCTGTAGGAATGGATTGTTTTCCATATTTTGAGGGGGATTACCTACCAGTACCCTATGTTCATCCCCCAAAAAATGCTATTTATAGGTATTGCTCCATAGGAAATATGAAGAAATCAACCATGTTCGAGGCTGTGTTCCGCAACACAAATGTGATTTTTGGAGAGACGTGGGAAAATCATGGCAAAACACTAAGAAAACCAAGCCACCAGAAAAGGAGAATAGCAGTACAGCAGGCAAAGTCGATGTTTCAAACACAAAATGATGCGATCTACGCAGCTGATACGATCAACGTAATCCGGGCTCCCCATTGTTCAGACTTGGAGATGAAGTTGAGGTGACGTTCATGGGCATGTAACTAAGGGACTCCGACCCCCATAATGGGATAATCAACATGTGTCTCAATGAGGTGCAATGCATTATATATTCTTATTATTTATGATTATCATTATTAGTAGCAGTAATAATAGTAGTAGTAGTAGTACTAGTAGTACTAGTAGTACTAGTAGTACTAGTAGTACTAGTAGTACTAGTAGTACTAGTAGTACTAGTAGTACTAGTAGTACTAGTAGTAGTAGAAGTAGTAGAAGTAGTAGTAGTACTAGTAGTAGTAGTAGTAGTAGTAGGTAGTAGGTAGTAGGTAGTAGGTAGTAGGTAGTAGGTAGTAGGTAGTAGGTAGTAGGTAGTAGGTAGTAGGTAGTAGGTAGTAGGTAGTAGGTAGTAGGTAGTAGGAGTAGTAGTAGTAGTAGAAGTAGTAGTAGTAGTATTAGTAGTAGTAGTAGGAGCAGTAGTAGTAGGAGCAGTAGTAGCAGTAGTAGTAGTAGTAGTATTAGTAGTAGTAGTAGTAGGAGCAGTAGTAGTAGGAGCAGTAGTAGCAGTAGTAGTAGTAGTATATGTTTTACGATAATGATTATTATAGTAGTATCTCATGTTTCTATATGTATATGTAATTAACCGTGATTATATATATCATTCCTATATTGTAACTATGGTGAGAAAACGAGAAAATGTATCCATGACCTCAACTGCCCAAGAGTTGGGCCTCAGGTAGCTTGGAGGGCCACAGCATGGGCCGCCGCAGGCTGTGCCGGAAAAGACTCACTGTGACCCATCCTCAAAAAGTGGCTCCGGATTTGATCGTCAGTTTTTCATGGGGGCGTAACATGGTTTAACATAGTTTAACATGGTTTAACCATCAAGAATATGGGGAGATCATTGGACATAACCGGTAAATTAAGTCACAGTATCTTGAGCATATCTTGAGGATATGGCGATGAGTCAAAAGCCTGGTACCCGGATGGTACCCCTCATATCCCGCTGGATGGTTCTTCCCGCAGTCATGGTAATAATAGCTTTTGACCCATCCCCATATCTCAAAACCCTCGGAATCGCTTAAATCCAGTGAAATCTCCCCAGAATATCCAGAATCCTAGTATGGAAGCCACAAAAAGAACAGTAGCATGATCCACTACTTGCGCCCGCAATTTCCTGATTGAAAGTGGGGCATGTCGATTTCGCGGGGCATGCATACACAAGACGAACTGGCAGTATCAGCAATATTGGGATGTAATGTCTACACCATAGTTGAAAATGCAGTGTTGGATACAACTCATACAACCAGCAATGGTGATTTTGCAATCAACTTTTTCGAAAAGGCTGGTGTGGGCTGGGTCATGCTGGGTCTATGAATAACCAAAATTTGACGGAATGCTCTCCAAAATATAAATGTGTGGCTTGGCATATGGATATGACTGAAAACCCTGGTTTCTCAGTGACTATACCATATATCTGCCTTGGACCATCTCCAAAACATCCTTTTGCACCCTAGACATAGTATATAGTGGAAGACTAAGTTGGAAACAGAATGTCCAAAATTCTTGTGGGATGTGGGTACTAGTATGGTTCAAAAACCATGGGTACATAAGATGAACATCCCAATCCATCCAAATCATGAATACTCTAATTGTTGTCCATGTTTGCAAACGTTACCTCGGTACCAGGTCGTTGACCAGTCCTCAGATAAAATGATGCAATCAACAGCAATGGAGATTCAACCCAAGTGGTTGGCAATCTATATACATTGCCATTGCTTCAGAACCTGTCTGGCAAAGAATTCACGATACATCTGGACCATTTAGCTATTGAATGTTGGGTTTCCATCACATTGTAGGTAGATACTGCCCTCTTGGTTCATGATTATCATCACCGGCATCTCCATAAAGACGCAGGAAATGCCATGCTTCATATGGTTGTGGGATGGGGTGAAATATTGGTGCCGATGGACCGAAAAACCCAGAAAAAAAAATCACTGTTTGCCGGGAAACTGGCAGCGGGAGAGGCCATAAATCGCCGAAACGGCACCAGCAGAACTAAGACCTCAATGAAAACGGGCATCCAAAGGTAAGCTTTGATGGGGATCATAATATATCAGGATTGCGGATAAAAAGTAATGGGCAAACCAACCCTGCTGTTGCATAGATCTCACTGAATGTCTGCTCCAGCCTGAATATGTTGTTTGCTCATCGCAACCCCGAGTTGAAGATGCAGCAATTGTTTAAGCGGCTTGGGATCACATCTTCAATTAGCACCACCCCTATTTCCTAAATCATAGAAATTGTTTCTAGACCTTAAAAATGATGTCTAAAAATCATAGAAATCGACATCAATTTGCAGCAATTAGCGTGGGATCAATAAACATTAGCACCAAAAAAATGATGTCTGCGCTCCCTTCCCAGATCATTCCCAGCGGCAAAGCACAGCAGGAAACCAAACATCAGCACCACAATGGCCTCAGTGTCACGTCCATTCCATTTAATCCAGGTAGGTTAAGAACGGGATTCTTAGCTCATGGTGATAATCACCAATTCATCTAAAGGGATCTAAAGGGTAGGTTGCTGTAATAACCCCCGAACTCATCATCAACCAACAGAGGTTTTGAACACTGTTGAACTTATTTTACCAGTTGGCTGGCGGAAAATGACAGAGGAGCTGAGGGCCCCAAACCAAAACATCCACCGGTGCATGCCAGAAATTGGGGCAGGACCTCAGTTGAATACATTGCCATGCATTGCCACTGTGCCAAAAAAAAATGGTTCGGGGAACTTGGAGTTGGCAGAAATACGGGATCGCAACATCCTCTTATTACACACATATAGCGGCAAACCGGAAATGTCCGGAAATCTTGGGTCCATGAACTGAGCTGGATATTTGTCAGGGTCCCGACGTGCCATCCAAATCGTCGCTGCCTGGTGAGGTGGTGAGGTCACGGTGACATCTGGAAGACATGAAACAGCTGGGTCCTTGTTACCTTGTTCAAACATTCAAACATGTTCAAACCTCTTTAGCTCGGATTCAAATCCAAGCAGTTTCTATGCAGAGCTATTCCGAATTCCCCATTCAGATTTCAGATCTTCCCGAACTGAAAACAGAGCTGTGTGGAGTCTTGTACGAAGTCCTAGCAGGAAGAACTTGAGAACTCCTTGAAAGTCTTGATCAGGATGACTGGTAAGTTTAAGACTCATTGGTGTGTTGAACCAACAATCAGTGGTGTCATGGTGACACTGTACTCATTGTAACCATGAGGACATTGGTGTCCCAAATATATCAAATTCTTCTCGAGTCCCAAGTCGAGCCTGACGCCCTGAAAGATGGACGAATCGACTGACAATTGTCACCCCACCTGCTATATTTGCTGGCTTCTCAAACATATGTTTTGCGCCACGGCTAAGCACTAGCCCCATTGTTGAAGCCGTCTCGTTTTGGAGCTTCAAAACATTGTTTTAAGGCAAAGCCATTATTGCTGGTATAGATGCGTACCTTCCAGAAGTTGATTGCTGAGTTTGCCTGAAATATATCCCATAGATTCCCCAAATCCCAGGGTTCATCGCTTCGGCACCCTGGTGATCAGATTTGGCCTACCAAGTACCCGCAGTTGGGTTCCAAGACTCCAACGGCCTAGCCGAAACTGCGACGCCGTTGCAAAGTCCAATGGCTCTTTGTAAGGCAATGTTCAATGGGTATGTGATATATATATATATATTAAAAATATTCATTTACTTACTTGTTGATTTGTCTGTGTCTTTATTTATATGTTCATGGGCATTTCATAGCTCCAAACGGGTATCTTGGATTTTTCATATGGATTTCATGAATTCGACCATCATTTGCTTGACTATGACCGTGATATATATGTCATTAGGGTGGTGGATCCAGTGGATCCTATGGAAAATTCGGATGTCCAAAATGCCCCAGATGTCGTGTCCCCCAAAAAAATATGCATGTATACCACATATATATATATATACATACATGTATTCACATCATATAAAAGTATACAAACATATAAACCGCAAATCCCAAAGAAAGATAAACCAAAGGCTCCAAGTTGTTTAGCCTCCAAGTCACCATTGGCGCCCCCCACATGCACTGCAGACCTCCTGACGCATCTGAACGGAAGCCGCGATGACGATTTGGAAGAGCATCCTCGGTGGAGCGGGTGCGCGGCCTATCTTTTGTTTCGGGTGCCCGAATGGGGCACCCGTTAGATTCATGGAAGAAACCTTGGGAGAGTTATACATATATATATATATATATATAAACCAACACTATGGGATGATGTGGGGAAACAGTACATGGGTGAGAAAATGGGATATTGAGAAACAATTTCTGACATTTGTGCGGAAAATGTTGATAAACCATCAAATTCTGGGATTTTGCAGACATGATTTGAAGGAGATGCCCCATTGAATCCCAACAGTAACCAATCGCAGATGTGCTTCGCCTGCTTCGCCTCTGTGCTTTGTATATCTTTGTATAGTCCTCATGCACTGGAAGACCCGTTTTCACTCATAAATTTCACACTGAAACTGTCAGAAATCGCTACATATAGGAAAATCTATTTATCTGTCGTTTTGACAAAGCCATACGATCTGCGACCTAATAAACTGTTGGGCTCATTTCAATGTCAATCATCCACATCCTTATCCCTAATCCTTTCCCCCTATGACTAAACCCCGCCCAAATACTAAAAACTAGGGTACATCTCTAATTTTGGAAAAAACAGATTGGCCAATTTGATTTTTAACTGATCCCTTTTGAAAACAATTTAAAAATAAAGCTACCTTTGTGGGTTTTGCCCCCTAATAATAAAACTAGTTAACCCCGGGGTGTTTATTATTAGGGTCCATCCGATTTGTTTCTAGTTTTTATTATTAAGGTTTTAATTTTATTAGTTAATAGGGTCCGCTTCGAAATCCAATTCTTTGCAATATTTTAATCGCGTTATATAAGGAAATTTAATTGACTTTGAAATCGAACAAACTAGTTGTTTATAGGTTTTAATTTTATTAGTAGGGTTCGCTTCGAAATCCAATTTTTGGCAATATTTTAATCGATTTTGAAATCGGATTTTTTGTTTTTTATTCAGGGTTTAATTTTATTAATAGGGTTCCCTAATAATAAATACCCCCCTAATACTAAAAACTACCTGAGGTGTTTATTAATGGGGTGGTAGTATTAGGGGGAAGGGATTACTTTGCAGATGCAGCAGGTACAGGCACCGCAGGCTCATTTTATTCTTGCATCGACATACCTATACGATCCTGTATCTGTGGCCTTGGCATACCTGACTCGGCCTTCTTTGACCACCCATACAACAGCCATATCAACAAAATATGAGGGCTCCGCAGGACCAACTTCTGCAGAAACTGAACCTGAACAGGGCAAAATTAGATACAAAAGGATGCTGCATAGGTTGATTGAAAGGTCAAGAGGAGATGCCCCATTGTGGGATCAATGTCACAAGGCGACAGGATTCC